ATGTTGACTTCTTCTTAATCCAGTTGATCACCAGGAGAAAGGGAAAAGGTGAAAGTAAGCAACCTTGCCTGACAACGGTCTTTACTTCGAACGAGTCAGTGAGCTGTCCTCCATGCAGTTTAATCCATAGTAGGAATTCCGTATGATATTGACTATCTTCTCAGGCACGCCGTAGTGTCGAAGAAGCCTCCATAATGTTGTTCTATCTACCCTATCAAATGCTTTCTCGTAGTCAATGAAGTTGATGTAGAGTGATAAATTCCATTCAAGTGATTGTTCAACAATGATCCGTAGAGTTGCTATTTGGTCTGCACACGATCGATCCTTACAGAATCCAGCCTGTTGGTCTCGAAGTTGGGCGTCTACGGAGTCCTTCATTATATTTGGCAACACCCTGTTGTAGACTTTTCCTGGTATTGAGAGAAGAGTGATGCCCCTGTAGTTATCACACTTGCTGAGATCGCCTTTCTTTGGTATATTGATCAGAATTCCTTCTTTCAGGTCTGTTGGCACTTATTCTTCATCCCAAATCTTGCTGAAAAGAATGTGACTTACTACACAGACGAGAACGATATGCTTCACCTTTTGTTCAAGAAGATTTCGGAGGAAGAACAAGTGCCGATGGACTGGAAAGGACACCTCATCAATATATATATATATATATATATATATATATATATATATATATATAAAGTTATAGACAACATAGGTCTTGAGATGAATATCTATTGATATAAGTTGTTACGTCCTCATAGTTTTACATCATGACAAAAAGTCAATAAGATGAAAATCGAAATACTGTTATCGATTGCCCTGGTACGGCCGAATGCGATGAAAGTCAGCTTTCCCTCTCAAAATACTCTCACATCGTCATGAGTATACAGCCCCTTCCAGGGAATCCCTACTCACTGCCTTCTCTCGGCATTACTGTTGTCTACGAAATTGAAAGAATGAAAATCGAATGTCCGACGTTTTAACCGGGTCGGTGGATATGAAGAATCCACCTAGGGAAGTAGAAAAACGCTGATCGCTGGCTACCATGGGATCGTATCTCCCAACGTTGCTCAGTCGCCTTTAGGATTAGACATTTAGGTCAAAGGTTAGTGGGATGCCACCATAGGAAAACCACCTGATTTAGCTTGAGCGCCCTGGTAGTAGTATCTCAGCCTTAACATAAATTGAATGATTAATGTGGCGCATATCTATTTGGTGCCTCTTTGTACCAATGTTCACGTGTTTAAATAAATAAACAAACTACTCTGCAACACCTCATTCGACTTATCCCCAAAGCAACAAAAGAATGAGAGCGAAACAAAATATGTTCCAAACAAGCGGAACAATATGAGATCATCATGGTAAAAGTTTAAGGATTTATATCGAATTTATGAGAGAAGAATTCAGTACATTCTTTCACAATCTTTCTCTTAGGATCGATTAATCGAAAATCAACCAATCAAAATGTTCTGATTTGGTCTTCTATTCACAGCGTGCAACTTTCAAATATAATAATATTCAAGAATGAAAAACTAGTGATTAATACTAAGCTCTGAATTCAAAAGAAAGGAAGATTGAATAAAACCAATTACTTTTAAGCTTTTTGGCTTAAGTTCAACCTTTGAAAAAGTTAAGAATAATTTTTAACGATAATAAATTTAAAATAATTTACAATGGTTGTTGAACCTGTAATAGTGCATGAAACAAATGTTTTATTTTGTTGTATGCCTGTTACCCCTGGTGGAGAAGTATAAGCCACCCCCCACCAGCACTCTCCATCTAATCTTTTCCTTTAAGATGAACTATAATCATTCCTAACTATGAATAGTTGAGAAACTCTTCTTAATAGGAAACAAGATCAATACCAATTAGATAGACTAGATGATGAACACACAATACTTTTACAATAATGATTTATGAAACAGAAGTGAGATAAATCTTGTAATAATGATATACTAGTAAGATCATATTTGAATTCACTTAGTTACATAACGATTAAATTGAGTGATTATTAATTATAGAAGTAAATATCAAATGAAACAATTATCATTTGGATGAAAAATCATAGAGAATTAGTACAAACTTCAATAAGTTAATCAGAATTGATTCATATGATTAATGATTATTCGTGTTATGGATCATTAATGGATCAGTGAAATTTCTAATGAGAATTAATTACTGTTAAACTAATTAATAAAACTCATTATTATATTGAATAATTTAGTTTTTCATTAAATTACAACTAATTATTAAATGGGGGTTGTTTGTGGGGATTTTTTTAGTAATTTTTTTATATATAGTTGAAATCATGAGTCAATTGAAGCTAGACCACCAGGGAAAACCTGGAAGCACTGGACGACCGTTTCGTCCTATTGTGAGACTCATGTGCTCACTAGTGACTGGCTCTATAAGGTATTTCCTGGGGTTCTAGTGAGAAGCAGTAATCGGTGAAGTTCAACCAGGTCTGTTGGGAGATAAAAACTCACTGAAGACATTGGTGAAATGGTTGCTAAACTTCGTGGATCAGTTGAAGTTAGACATTAACATCGTTGGATGCCAGCTCAGTGGTCTATCGGTTAAGTGCTCTGGCGCGAGACTGGTAGGTCCTGGGTTTGAATCTCGCGAGGCGGGACCGTGGATGCGCACTACTGAGGAGTCCCATCATAGGACGAAACGGTCGTCCAGTGCTTCCAGGTTTTCCATGGTGGTCTAGCTTCAATTGACACATGATTTCAAATGTATATAAATAATTATTATATGATTGAGAAAAAATTCTATTTAATTAATTCTCAATTTACAAAACTTTAACGATTCGCCATTTAAAAATAATTAGAAGATAGATTTTAATATAATTTACAGGAAATCCATGATAACAATGATAAAATTGTACGGAAACTTATTAGAACAGGAGATAAGAAGGCGAGATTATTGTTATGCCCTTAGCTTGAAGGAATACCGCGAATACGACTGCTAAATTTAGATACGCGGATTTATACGATCAAAAAATGAAGCATACGCCTGAACGAATGGCTTAGAGTCCCGATTGGCCATTTTCCTTGCCTGTTATGTCCAGAACACAAATCTCAGTCTTCGCGATATGAAACATATATTTCAAAAATACTGGGTTTATACACAAACCAAACGGATCACACCACACCATAAAATAGAAAGTAACACTTGTACAAGATCAAACCAAAAAGTGGCTGTAATTTTGTGAGACTAATTAATAAACTACTCATAAATTATTTATTCATTTACTACAAGAAGGCACCAAATAGATATGCGTCACATAAATCTTTAATTTATGTGAGGGCCGGAATACTACCAGGGCGCCCAAACTGAATCAGGTGGTTATCTTTGGAGGGGCATCTTTCTAACCTTTGACCTAAAGGTCTAATCCACAAGGCGGCCGAGCAACGTTGGGAGATGCAATCACAGGGTAGCCAGGAACCAACAATAGGTTCATACTTCACTTTTTCCGTCAGGATCGTGGAACCCTTGCTCACTATTGGTTTGGAATCAGTGTTTTTCTACTTCCCTAGGTGAATCCTTCATATCCACCAACCCGGTTAAAGCGCCGGACATTCGATTTTCATTCTTTCAATTTCGTAGACAACAGTAATGCCGAGAGAAGGCATAGCTGAAAAATAGTGTATCGTATAATAATAATCTATAGGTCAAACTAAAGCTTATAATAATAGTAATATGAATATAGTTATACAATAAAAATGTATGCATAGTACTAGTCCATTAATAGATCCCAACAGTTACCGCTCATTATAGTCGTCGGGATATAACAATTATGTTTTAACTTGGCGTGATAATTTGCTAGCTTTAACTTTCGTTTTTATTTCAGTGATATGATTTTTTTCGCAAGCATTTATTCATTGTGAATTTCGTTTGATATAACATGAAGAATGTGTTTTTTAGTCATTCTGTGCTAAATCTATTTTTGTATCCATTCATGCCGTTTATATATGTTTGTGTTGGGGAGATCCACAAAAATTCCTCGGAAAAAGCTCAAATGTGTCCTTAAAACGCTGGAAAACATTTTATCTAATCAGCATTCAATAGAAGTTTCTCCGAAACATCTAGAAGAGTCACTTGTCACATTTCTGATTGGATGAGTGCTCAACCTACTACTATGGTTAGAAGGGTTCCATCAATCTCTCGAAGCCCAAGGCCATCTGAAATGTTATAAATACCCCCAATTCTCTGTACATAAATTAACCTTGGAGTAAGACGTTCTTTCCATGTTTTGCGCATTTTCTCTCGTGTGGATTTAGCCTAGGGATTACTAGAAGAGCTTAGGAAACGGAATCAAGCATACAATCGAAAGATCAGTTTGCATTAACCATCAGTAAAATTTCTATATACGCAAGCTCAGAGAACTTAATAACACCAAAACAAACAAGAGTATTCGGTCAAAGTTATTGTCGTATTTAAGGAGATGAACAGAAATCTGCATTTGTGATTAGTTTTGTCTTCTTCATCTGCCTTGTTCAAGTAACAATCTCTTTCTTCCTCTTCTAAGTAACAGTTTTCACAGATTTTAATATGATTGATAAAAAACGCCTGGTTGGTGAAATTCTTATTTCATATACAAACAGTAGATGACAAATATAGTGCCGAATTGAAATGAAAGTTCATATGAAAACTATCACCAACTTTTCTAACGATATCAACCAATGAATAGCGAATAAAAGTGAGTGCAACAAAAGGATTATTTTTCTGATTAGTGACTTATTGTTAACACTGAATAATAATTCAGTCAGTAAGTCGTTTAGTTAAAATATCCACATAATTAAAATTAATGTATATTACAAACAGTAACAAGTTATCGCGCTTTATGTTGACGATGTTAGATCTCCAGAACTCACTTGGAAAATGGAAAAATTCAAACTTTTCTGGTTCCGCGCCAAAAGCGCTCGTTTTCACCTTCATGTCGTAATTCCCACTTGAAAGGATCTTAAACGCTATTGTTACGTTGTATCTTTTAGTATGTTATTTTGTAACGCTTCCCAAGGACACTTTTATGCTCTATATACGCTTGAATTGTGCTCCTTGTTGTTGTTCGTGTTTCTGGCTGCTTTGGGAATATATATTCCCTCTTCAGAACTTGGACTTATCTCTCTAGTTAGCGGGGCTGGGACACATCGGGATACCTAGCTTATTGGTTATCGTGTCACTGGGTCTTCGTTCCGTTCACAGGGTAGATGAACTCGGAATCACTTCAAACATAGCACTTTAAATGTATTATTTTGAAGCAGTGGGGAAGTTCCTAGCCATTTTAACTGAAAAATCATTACAAATAGGAGGACTATAGTAAAACTATCTCAATAAAGCTTCATATTCTGGTAGTACATACTCACCACCTTTAAATTTTATCATTGAGCATCATAACATTCAGTCGTTAAGCCGAAATTCTATGGTACATATTTTTCTAATTTCAATTAATCCGTGAAATAATATGAAATTACTCAATGTTACATTTGAATAAATGCATCATTTTCGCCTTCATAAATTAAGATTTCAGAATAAAACTTCCGGAAATTCACTGAGGAATGTGAATAATCGAATTTTACCAACTCAATGATTGAATAGTAATATGGTTATCGCAAAATTCGAGAATAAAAATAATAAACGAACCAAATTAACACAAATCTAAATACCATAAAGGACATAAAGCAGAATATTTTCAGAACAATCACAATTAAAATAGGATTGATTATATTAACATTATCTCATTTCAGTCAAGGTTACCTTTTTTGTATGAAACCTAGCTGTGTGTAATTATGTATGTTTGTGGGTGTGGAAAATGTGATATTTGTAATGTGGAAGAGTAACGTTAGAAATATGTTTGTTAGTGGTGTGAAATGTGAAGAGAATTAGTTGTACGGATATTTGAATAAATGGTCCATGTTGGATGGATAGTTAAACCTTCTTTTCTACTTTCTAGTTCTACAGGGTTATTTGTAAGTATTTTTGTGTGTTCTTTGATACTAATCATGATTTCATGAGAAGACTGTGTTGAAGTAATAAGGATTTTATCTTGTATTTGAACTAAAGAATTTCAAAGAGTACTCATTGTTTTATAGAGTTCATTAATACTGTATGATCTAAGGATTCTTTGTAATTCTTCAGTTGTGTCATGATGAAATGGCAGAACTAAAGTAACAACCCTTCGTACTATATAAACTTGTGTTAATTTATTGATTTTTATTATCCGAAGAAGTGGTGGTTTACATTAAGTTATGAATATCCCAAGACTTGTTTTAATTAAAAAATTTTAAACTTTCGTTAATTTCTTGTTATTCATTCCTAATCATTTAGTTATTACAACGTAAAAGGATGTATTCATTCAAAAAATGTTCTACGCTCTTGTATTTTAGTTTATTTAAAAATTTCTTATTTAATCTAGCTGTAGTATTCATTAGTGGATTACTTCAAACACTATTCAACTTTGAACTATACTATTATGTCATCGCTTTGAAATAAACTCTACCTAAAGCAGATTATATGAGTTAGGTAATTATTATTATTATTATTTGAGGACATAAATATTGGTAAAAGGAAGCATAAGATACATATGCGCAACACAAATCTTATTTGATTTGTGTGAGGGCTGAGATACCACTCAGGTGCCCAAACTGAAGCATATGGTTTTCTTAGGGGGCCACGCCCCGAGCCTTTGACCTGAATTTCTGATCCACAAGGCAGTGGAGCATCGTGAGGAGATGCAGTCCCATGGTAGCCGGTGACCAAATAATTGGTTCATACGCCATTTGTTCTTTCAGGATCCTGGAGCCCATCTGCACCATTGGTTTGTAATCAGGGTTTTCCAACTCCCCTAGGTAGACTTTTCATGTCCACCAACCCGGTTATAGCGCCGGACATTCGATTTTCGTCCTCTCAATTTCGTAAACAACACCCCCGCCGCGAGAAGGCAGTGAGTGGGACTTCCCTGGCAGAGGCTACATACTCGTGGCCATGTGAGAGCAACCATAAGTCACAATCCGTAAAAAGTGAATAAACCTAGAAACGTTTATTTAATGCCTTTCTTAATTACGTTTATTATATGATTAAAGTTATAGAAACAATTTCAAATACAATCATTATTTCAGTTCTAATCAATTTAAGATATAGAAAACATATGAGAGGTAATTTCGAAAATGACATCAAAATGAAAATATCATTGAGGAATACGATAAAGAGAGAAAAAATGATGATGAATTGACAAAACGTATTATATCACTTGTTTTTTTCTGTCAAAAACAACTTCAGTTTAGTCAAAATCACAATACTCAATGTTATAATGGTATGAAAAAGAAAGATTAAAACTAATTTCTACTACCGTGTACATTTAATACGAATCAACCTGCTTTTTGTGACATAATTTCTCATTTATGTGTAGAGTACAAAGAGTCATATCAAGGCAGTTCTCAATAACAAAAAACATCTCTTTTCGTTAGGATAAGCTAATAAGTCACCAACTATCTTCAGTTTCGTAGACCAACTTATGAGTTGTAGCAATTTTATGTATAAGTTGAAAAGTTTTTACCCGAATATCTATACCTTTATAAATGGAGTGATTCAAATTCATAAGAGCCACTAGTTGGGAGTTGTGAATACTATGCTACAATATCAAATGTTTGAAGATTTAGTAAATCGAACAAATTCACTCCTAGTCTTCCCTCAGAATTCGAGTCTCGAAATTTTCGCATACCGTTTTTTTCTTTTTCTCTACCTAATCCTTTCTAACACCACTGAAACTGTTTACTACTCTTTAATTTATTTCGAAATAATTTTATCTCGCACGTATGTGTAACGTTATTTACGTTGCGTATTTATTTTATTTATTTATTTAAACACATAAATATTGGTACAGGGAAGCACCAGATAAATATGCGCCTCACAAATCTCATTCGATTTGTGTGAGGGCTGTGATACTGCCCAGGTGCCCAGACTGAAGCATGCGTATGACTGAATGACTTATTTCACCAAGATTCATGTTGATTTAATAATCTATAATACACATCGCTTGTAGTAAATATTCTTGAACAGAAGATGTAATGGACAGGTTACTACTTTGTTATATGCTTTCATTTAACATGTAGAGATAAATTAATTAGATACTGATAACATCGTTTTATTTTGATATTTCAATTACTTACTTCATTTAAATTCTCATCCAAATTAAATGGCCAAGATTGATCATCAATAGAAATACAACAACTAGGAATACGAAAAGATTTAAGTGATGTGCCACGAAGAGCTGTAAAAGCTTTCATATCCACAATATTAAACCAATAACCTTCAAGTAAAAGTAAAATAAAAGTCACATTTAATATAGAATTATAAAATAATAGAACGTGTGAAAAAAGGTATACATTAATTACACTGATCAATCTACAACTGTCTGGTTAGTTTCCATTATGAAGAGAAGAATACAGAAACAACAAAGACTGAAAGCTACGTTTTGGATCATTAGTTAGCTTACTTCCTAATCAATACTTATTAACATTTAGTTTATATAACTGTCTTATTCCTTTAGTCACAGGCTTCCGTTTAATATATAAACTATTGTAATTTAAACGTTAGTCTTGTATCATATTTTCGCATCCTAAATGACTTACCTTGGCATACACCAATATCTTTTTAATTTATTTCGCGTTATGATCCAATTATTCACAAATTGGGTATATGTAATACACGCCCCAAACACCTGACCTGATGAAAACTCACTACCTCACCGATCAATTTACGATTCCTTACCTATTATACTGAGTCTAACCTCAGCAGTTTCAACACACGAGCACTGTTTCGAAAACATCTATCGCTGAACACTAGTGACCTACGAATATCCTGTATTTCCAAAAAAAACTGTGTTTCACACCAATAAACAATAACAGATCCAGCTGCTGTGTTAAATAATAGTCCTCTGGTTGACATAGGAAAATCTCCTCTACAGGAGAGGTGACAAAGGCTGGCAAAAGCCAAGAGAGTTTTCTGAACTAGTCCCAATATTCCAATAGGCACTAACTCAACAGGGTTGACGAAACGTCCAAGATAAGTGGAGTGGACGACACATTCGACTACTTCACTCCCTATCACTAGTTTAGACGTTGACACACTAGTTTCGAAACAACATTTTGCATTAGGGAGAGAATCGAATCCCAAACATGCTAGCACTGTTGTTCACGTTGATAAAAAGATTATGGATTTTGTCAGCTTCTTCACTACACAGAACCATGTTATCTACGAGCAGTAGGTCGACAAGTTTATTTATTTTATTTTCTTTAAACACATATATATTGGTACAAAAGGGCACCAGATACATATGCGCCACACAAAATAATGAAAGTAGGAAGAGAAAGGATGAAAAGATTACGCGGACTAAAATGTACAACCAGAAGACACTTTCAGTTAAGAAAGTTAGAACCACTCTTTATGAAGAAAATGAAAGGTTACAGCAGAATCGCCATTGGCTTCTATTTTGAGCCATATCTGATAACGTCTCTAGCCACTGTGTTGCACCATCTCTCGGACCCCAGCCAGGGAGTCGTGAAGGACCAACAGAAGCTAGCCCTTTGCAGCTTTCTTTCATGCCACGACACCATGTCATACACTGACCTCTTCTCCGCTTTTTCCAACCAGTCCCAGAGTCGGCAAATAATGAACAACGAGGAACTCTCTGGGACGACATTCGTAAAACATGTCCTAGCCACCGAAGTCACTGTTTCAAGATGGTGACACCAATTGAATTATCGTCTATGCGCCCGAACACACGATGCCGAACCTTTGCATTACTAACATGGTGTTGCCACTGTATGTCAGCAATCCTTCGGAGACAACGATGATCGAACACAGAGAGAGGCCATGTTTCACAAGCACAGAGCAAAACTGCTCTCACCGACACGTTGTAGATCCGACCTTTTACAGCCAGACTAACATCACGAAGGCGCCAAAGATGGCCCACATAGGCATAAGCCGCTCTGGCTTTCATTATATGTGCCTCAATCTCATCACTCACGCCACCACCAGCACTTATATGGCTACCTAGATACACGAACTTCTCAACTACTTCAATCTGCTCACCATCCAGGGTGAGTACAGGATGAGAACCCTGCCAGTGTTGTAGGAGTACTTTGCACTTGGAGGGTGCAAAGCACATGCCGTACCTGCGGACACTGATTGACAACTGATTAAGTGCGGATTGCATGCCTTGGGCATTATCGCACAGTAAGACAATATCATCCGCATACTCAAGGTCGAGAAGTCGTTCTCCAGGCAACATATCCACACCGCCATTACTTACATCCATCAGAGCTGTTTCCAGGATGTCGTCGATAGCAAAGTTGAAGAGGAATAGTGAGATCGGGCAACCCTGCCTAACCCCACTGCTCGAATGGAACAAGGGAGAAAGGTGGTTGTATGCCCTCACTCTGCCTGAGGTGTTCGTATACAGGGCCTTTAAGATGTTAATGAACTTCTCAGGCACACCCTGTGATAAGTATGACGGTGTTCTAACATTTGGCGGAGGGTGAAGATGTGATCAATGCATCCTCGACCAGAACGAAAACCAGCCTGATCCTCGCGAGTCAATCGTTCTCGGGTTTTAAACAACCTACGAAGAATGACATAAGCCAATAGTTTGGACGCGATCGGAAGTAGACTTATCCCCCGATAGCTGTTACAGGAACAACATGAACCCTTTTTAAAGATAGGGAGAACTATCGACTCATTCCATGATGTTGGAACACTTTCTTGCTCCCAAACCTTTGCAAACAACACCGTCAGGTTCTTAGCCAGAAAGTCACTACCATCTTTAAAAAGAGCCGGAGGTAAGTCATCTGGGCCCGGTGATTTGTAGCGCTTCAAGAGTTGGAGTTCCTTGCAGACTTCCGCCTCGTTTGGTGGATCAGTCGTCACCGGCCATGGGGGGTAGGACAAACTGGTTGATGTTGCCGGAGCAGCAGGCCAGTTGAACTGCCCTTCGAAGAATTCCGCCCATCGTCCAAGACGTCGAGAGATGTTGGTGATTGGCATCCCGTCATCCTCGTATATTGTTTCACTCACACCATACTTCTTTCTGCCAGTGGCTCGGATGAGTTGGAAGAGCTTCCGGCAGTTACCAGATGCAGCTGCTGCTCCCATCTCATTAGCACGCTCCGACCACCAGGCTTCTCGGTCCTTACGCAAGCTTTGCCCAATTTCATTACGTAACAGCCTTCGTTTGTGGTCAAACTCACGGTCACCCGGAGTAGACCGACGGGCTTCCATCAGTTATAAGGAGCCAGAAGAAACCCAGTGCTTGTAAGCGGGACGTTTCGCGAAGCCGCAAGCGGCTTTACTCGCCATTTTCATGGCGTCGTGAAGATGCAACCAATGCTCATCTATACTTTTCGGTGGGATGGTAGCTAGCCTAGAGGCTAGCTCCGCTCGATACTTACTTGTAACAGATGTTGCAGCCAGTTTACTAACATCGATCCGTTGGTGGTGATCAATCCTTCGGCCACTGAAAAGTAAGGTGAGATTGGCGCAGACCAGGGCATGGTCAGACTCCAGATAGGTACTCCAAAAGGAGCGGCAGTCTTGTACACAACCACACCAGTGGTAGCTGATCGCGATGTGATCAATCTGAGTCCAGGCTTGGGATGCAGAGGGAGGACGCCAGGTGGCACACCGGCGATGACTGTGCCGGAAGTTAGTGCTAGCCAGAAACAGGTTGTGGTCTGTGCACAGTTGCAGCAAACGATCCCTGTTATCTGTCCTGCGACCAACAAGTCCACATCGGCCACCTAAACGATTTTCTTCTGTGCCTAGACGCCCGACCTGAGCATTCAAGTCTCCGGCTAATACTACAATATCTGTCGAACGCGCTTTCTGGATTGCATCCGGGCTGCAATCTGTCGGGGCATAGGCGGAGATGACGAAAAGACACCGTTTCTCACGCCGGTTTCTTCTCACTCTGATGGAACTTTCTAATCTAACAGCACATAATCGTCTGTTAATGGGGTTCCAATCGATTAGTGCTGCCTCAGCCATAGCACTTAGTGCAACATCAACGCCAGCAAGACTGGACGAAGATGTCACAGAGTCCCCGGATCAGCGCACGTGAAACAAGCTTTTCGAAGCGACAGATGGAGAGCGAATTTGTAGTACTTCACTAGAGCCTTGAATACGGGTCTCGGATAGACAGCAAACATCAACATTAAGACTTTCTAAAGACATAGCCAGCCCCATCTGTTGTCCGATCTGCATTAGTGTGCGAACGTTGAAGGAAGCCAGCTTGAACGGCGAACGCGGTTTCAGAAAAACTGCTTCAGTATTCGTAATCGGTGGAAGCATTCACTTTCAACCAGACCGTGACTGGAGATCGTTTAGATAGGACAGAGTTTCCACCATGGGTGAGCTACTGCATAAGTTGAAAAGGAAGGATACACAATTTGGGAATAAAGGGAGTGAAAAAGCGACGTAGTAAATAATAATAATAATAATAATAATAATAATAATAATAATTACGCCATTTGTTCCTTCAGGATACTGGCGCCCATGTGCATGTCGACAAGTGAATTTCCTGATATGAGATCAATCAACGATTATATCAACAGAATTATTGTTGCTATACCCTAACACATAATGGTGAGCCCAGACACTATTGACGAGGTTCTCAAATGAATATCCCAATTTCGGATGGGCTAGGTTTTACAACCACAAAATGAAACTGCCCCTGTTAACATATTGTGCCTTTAATCTTTTACAGTCAGTCGGGATAGACCAAAAGATATTCTAGATTGTTATGAGTCAATTCGGCCTTCGCTAAACTACTTCTCTGTAAATCGTACAGAACATTTGGACTGGAAACTACTCATGAATTAGTCGACAAATGCACAGGGTCATTTGAGTAATTAAAGCATTGGATTACAGTCTTACATGTTTTGATACACTCAGTTTTATCAACACTAGATATTAAGATTAATTCAATTTAAACGGTCAAACTAACTGACGAGTAACGGACAGTTTACGGAAATGTAATTTTTCTGGATGTGGAATTGTATTCTCATGTACCCTAGTTCCCCTAACCTTTAGACTAATCAAAAACGCAATTCCCATGGTCCAATGGGGAACCTGCTTTCAGATGAATAAAAACCAACAAGTTCAAAGAGACAGCATTTCACAAGTTTTACCAACACAGTCATATCGTTTCACATGCTTACATAGAACAGCGAGGCGGGCAATATATTTCAAGATATGTTTGTTGGCGTTGGATATCTAACAGAGGAAGAGTCAGACAGACAATTACCGGTTTACAGGAACCAAGCTTCCTGTTATTTTATTATATTGGATGGTCATTGTAAAGAGATGGATTTTTATATTAAATATGCATGGAGAATGAAAAAGCATCCGTCAACGGTCGATATCTCCATCAAGGCGAAGGTATGTTTGTCCAAAATATCCTGTATATACCAAGTAAGGCATCCTATTGGTTGCGAATGTTGATCCTTCATATGACAGATGGATTGTCCACCGTGAACAAATCGTCAAGGACTCATAGCCGCGCGCTGTTTATGAGCAAAGCCCACGGTTCCGTCGTCTGACAGACCAAACGTAAAGCATTCTACCTTTACTCTTGTCGGGAGCTGCGGCCTTTGTACCAATCGATTCCGTTTAAGAAACGTACGGAGAACAACTCACTGCACAGGATGTCTGGAGTATGCGTCACCGTGCCTGAACAGTCAAAACTTCCAGGTTTGTTTAGCAGTTTTCATAATGTTTTGAAACTTTCGCAGAGCACATCATGCAGCTGGAAGGTGAAGCACAGAAGTCATGTGATGTAGACAGTCAGCTGCAGTGTTATTTCTTCTGTACATAGGATGCGAATAACATAGCCGGCCTGTTTACAGACATCATAAGAGTTGATGGCACGTTAAAATTTAATAAAGAAATGCCACTCTACCAGTTAGTAACATTGGATGCGTCAATGAAAGCGATACCAGTAATTTTTGGATTTATAGCTGGCGAGAAATCATCTTATCGAAAGGTTTTTAACCTATTTTTGTGTTTTTCTGGTAAACCGGTCGGAAGCTTAATTAGTGACGACAGAACTGTCATTGGTAATGCTCAAAGTGCAAACTTCCTGGCTGTTCACCAAATTTTGTACAGATTTTACATCATATGGAACGTTATGCAGAGAGTAAAGAGGTTTCTAAAATGGTTTCCGATGATGATGACAAGGAAGCCTGTGCGGGGTGCTCTACAGTGAATGTTCATCGCTTGACATGATTTCGTAAAATATTGAAACTGATACTAAATTTAGTATTTTCGGGAAAAAATAAACATAAGATTGTGATTAAACAGTTTAGCCTCCATAGTCAATGAATGCACTGTTTTATTTCTTACAACTCTAAAGAATAATAATCGTGGCAATCAATTCATTAATAGCATAAAATAGATGGATTCGGACTTCATGATAATTTGTATCCAGTTCACTGTAATCTATTATATTTCTATTATATTTATTCATTATCAGCAATGTTTTTTTATAAGTTGACCTATTTCTAATTATTATCAAGAAAATCATTGGTATCATCTGACCTTAATATTCCACTGCATATTATAGCAACTATCCTACACCCAAATTTGACTATGGTTAAGCCGTTTTATTAACTTACATAACAGACATTGTCATTTGGATAGTAACAATTCGCATATATCTTTGTACTGTTATGATCACTAGAGCACATGAAAGACTCTAGCCAAAACGCTGGCTGCTTAAATATCATTCAATGGTTCATCCTCCTCCCCATATATGTATGCACTCAAATCCTATTATTAGCTTTTGCTTTGTTTTGCTTCGCCCTTATACAATTTGACTATAAATTTACCTATGTGATTTCTCGCGCATGCTCACTGATACTTACTGATGTGCATGTAGCTTTGTGACCTGCCGCATTTGATAATAAACTGTAGTTGCAGCTTCTCTTTGCCTTCTGATTTCATGCACCGTTAAGAGGTGAACGATTAGCGAATCATTGCACTACAAGTTTGTCACGATTTATGTAACATTATATTTAACGCAGTTGTAATATATTCTTATAAGTTAGTAAGAATTCTCTTACAGTACTGATTCTTCAGATCATATTAATTGTCTGACATGAATTCGATATCTTCACTTAAAATATCCATACGGTATGTGGTAAACTTCCTAAAGTGTACTTACGATTCAGTGATCAGTACATGTGATAAACAAAAGTCCTGCTTATCAAATATGGCAAGATAAAAACTTATCCAGTAAAAGAATTAATCTTTAGTACGAAACATTCATACCATGTGGTTTTCACGTTACAAATGATTTTAGATAGGAACTATTTTGTGTATTCAAAAAAAGGCACGCTAGTATTTAGAATGTCAAAATAAATCCTTAACTGTTAATGGTTATCTTCCTCGTTCAGTTGCAAAATTAAATTAACTTAGGTTCCACAGAATAGTGATTTTCGTCATAATAGATGTTAAACTTTTCGATTACATTTAATATTAAGTAGATGAACAAGTGAAATTCAGTAAACTGATTCGATGAAATTTTATTGTTATTAAATACCATATGATAATTGAGTATTATTTTATTATACAGAGATTGACTTCATCAATATATTTATTTATTTATTTGAACACATAAATATTGGTACAAGGGGGCACCAGATATATATGCGCCACACAAAACAATGAGAATGGAAAGAGAAAAGGGGTAAAGTGTATATAAGAAAGGAGAAGAAAAAAGGAACAACAAGAACCACAGAGTGTATGTTAGCGTGATAATAAGAGTAATAATAGGGGAAACAGAAATGTACAACCAGAAGATCTGTTTCAGTTAAGAAAGTTATGACCACTCTTTATGAAGAAAATGAAAGGTTACAGCAGAATCGCCATTGGCTTCTATTTTGAGCCATATCTGATAACGTCTCTAGCCACTGTGTTGCACCATCTCTCGGACCCCAGCCAGGGAGTCGTGAAGGACAAGCCCTTCGCAGCTTTATTTCATGGCACGACATCCTGTCATACTCTGACCAACACTCCGTTTTTTCCAACCAGTCCCATAGTCGGCAAATAATGAACAACGAGGAACTCTCTGGGACGACATTCGCAGAACATATCCAGGCCACCGAAGTCGGTGTTTCAAGATGGTGACATCAATTGGGTTATCGTCTCTGTGCCCGAACACACGATGCCGAACCTCTGCATTACTAAAATGGCAATAACACTAGATGACAGCAATCGTTCAGAGACAACGATGATCAAACACAGAGTCGTCCAACATCCTGAACTCGGAGAGACCAGGTTTCACAAGCACAGAGCAAAACTGCTCTCACCGACACGTTGTAGATCCGAACTTTTACGGCCAGACTAACATCACGAAGGCGCCAAAGATGGCCCACATAGGCATAAGCCTCTCCGACTTTCACTATACGTGCATCGATCTCATCACTCACGCCACCACCAGCACTTATATAGCTACCTAGATACACGAACTTCTCAACTACTTCAATCTGCTCACTATACAAAGTGAGTACAGAATTAGAATCCTGCCAGTCTTGTAGAAATACTTTGCACTTCGAAGGTGCAAAGCACATGCACACATACTATTATCAAAAGCATTTGATTAAAAATGTCACCCACATAGTTGAATACGGACATAGCTGATTGAATATATCTCACTGAATGGTCTATTTGGATACGAATAATACTTAATGTATTTAACTCATTTCACCGTAGTTTAGTGGTTTCAAGGAACTTCTTCACACTGCGGTCATATATATATATATATATATATATATATATATATATATATAATTTGTCATATTGGTTATTTTCATCTAGTTTTCTGTGTATTCGACTTTTCTTGATAGACCGTTTATTGAGAAAACAATTTGACATGTCTCGTTTAGTCATATTTTTTTCGAAAAAAAGTATAACACGTTAAATTACTTGTAAGTGCTCATCACTACGTTTATGGGCAAAAATTCTATTACAATTTTATAATGTACTATTATTTAGAATATTACATTTATTATTCCAATTATTTTCAGATTTCAGCCACCAGTTTAAAAGAAACCTCATTGGTTAAACGGATTATATGAGGAAACAAGCACATAACTAATCGAATAAGCCGAATTCTAAGTATTGATACACATCGCATTCGCGTACGCAGTTGTTCAGACCAATTTGACTAGTAATATGAATTTTATACACAATTTGAAGTGAGAAAAGAAATTACTTACCAATTAGTGTAAAATGCGACAATTGTTGACATCTCCATGCTAACATGACAAACGGATCAGGATTGACATCATCAGGCGCTTTATACAAATTTGGTGAGTAAAAAACTAGATTTGATGAAGTAGATGATTGTGGAGCCTCGGAAAAATTGGGATAATAATTACGATCGTAAGGTAAATAATCACAACAATCATTAACATTGGCATTAGTTGTATTGATACTATCACGAGTAGAAATGAGCGCTGGATGAGATACAACGCTTGTATCACTACAACCACCCTTATTGATAGCACTTTCCTCACATAAAGCGGATTTTATTATGCTCAAACTATCAATCTCATTTTTTGATATAATTTCTGAATTAGAAGAGTATTCAGTTTGTTCAAGCATCTTATGAAGTGAAACTGGTGCTACCAATGATTGATGTATTTGATCATCAGACAAGCATGACCCTGATGGTACCGGTAAAGATGAAGATGATGAAGTTAAAGATAGACTGGTTGAAACAGGTAGCAAAAAATTACCTGAGTAATAGTTATTGTTACTACAACTTTTATCTTCATAATCAAATAGATCATAAGAAGAATCACAGCTCAATATATCAAAATCACTTGTACTATCCAGTAATAATGAATGTGATGAATAAGAACTGAACATCGACTGATAATCAGAGTCAACACAGTCGTAGTTATCATAATTAACAACAGCATCATAAGACGTTGTTGGTGTATTGGCAATAAATCTAATGATATTGCCATTATTATTAATACTATCACTACTATTATCATTACTACTAGTGGTAATGGTAGTATATTCCGTATAATGAGAATTATTATGTAAAATACCGTTAGAATTGTTTGACATCACAGATATTATATTGAAAGTATCAATTAGATAGAAATGCTCTAAACTCATAGGAAATGTATCCATTAAATATTGTATAAGATAAGACAATGGATGTGGTTTACAATAGTATATATAAATTGAATTTAAAGGCAAAGCAGAAGGCAAAAGTTTGGTTGAAAGTAATTGATAAATTTGATTCTGTTCACCATATGGATGATGATACTCGCTTAAGTGTTGTTCACGTTCATTTTCCAGTCGACAATGCACCGGTATATGCGGTGAAGATGAAGACGTCGGCGATGAGGATGTAGAGGTGACAGAACAAGATGATGACATCGATGAATATGATGATGATGGTGGTAAATGATTATCAAGTTCTTGAGTAGTATTTTGTATGAAAGACATTCGTTGATTGGTTGAATCCGAATGGACTGTTGATTGTTTGAGATCATTTACACAAATTAGGAATAAAGTCACACGAAAATTAGGAAGTATTTCATGCACATGTCTCCAAATTTGATTTCTATGATAGATGAGACAAAAATAAAATAGATTAGAGTAACAGTTTAACTGGAAAAAAAGATTAAAAATAGTAGCTACCATCAGTTGACCACAAGTAGTCCAGATCTCAACCTCAATCACAAACAGCAGATTCAAGAAGCCAATCATAATCAATGTAGGATGGGGTCATAAAAGTTTCCTGGTCCAAACTGTGACATTAAATCAGAGAATCAAAGTGAAATTAATAAGATAAATAGCCGAGGAATTGAAATAGTAATAGCACCGATGATAGTTGAAGAGGGTGAATACAGTTTACTACTCCTACAACAATTTACAGATAATGAGTTGTGGTTATCATCATTAACAGCATAGTACATTTATTCGTTAAGCTAATTATTATTTGGATATGTCTTATTTTTCCCGAAACTATACATCCATATATATATATATATATATATATATATATATATATATATATATATATAATCATACCATTTAAACAAGTACACATCTTTACATAACACAAGGTGAACACACTTCACATCAAATGACTGACACACACCACAGGTACAACTCGAAATGTAGGCAGGATTGGACAACTATTTAATATACTATTTTTCTTCGTAACCTATTTATATTTGGTCACTGATTATTTCTCTGGAGAAGCTTGGAACCGACTATAGAGTGAAAAGTCGGAGTCACCTTAATTCCAATTTCTGAAACTAAAGGGCTTATACATCGTTATCAATGCATTTGGTTGTTGCTGTCATCAGTATACGACAATTTGAGAAATTAGGACAAGGGCTTCTAAAACCTGAGGAAAAACGCAAAATCCCTTTATACACATACACCAACTACCTAGACCGACAGATACATGAAACCTTGCATAATAAGACATGAGGTTACAGAACAAAAATATGACGGTATCCAGTAAAAATAATGAGATGGTGTTTTTGGGAAAGATAAACATTGAGGGCATCCAGTATATATCTATTCATACAAACTCCCCTTTCATTTGAGATCATTCCATCTTTATGAATTATAACCAAAATCCTACGTCTACCCCGTAATGCTTAGATAAAAATGTGTCATTATGTTTGGGGTGTTAGATCTCCAGAACTCACTTGGAAAATGAATTATTTTTGTAATTTTGTTTTAAGAATTTGAATTTATTGTTTTCGCGCCAATAGCTCTAGTTTTCACCTTCATGTCGTATTACCCACTTGAGAGGATCTTAAATGCTATTTGGTCATTGTATCTTTTAGTATGCTACTTTGTAACGCTTCCCAAGGACAATTTTATGCTGTATATATACGTTTGATTCGCACCTGTGATTGCTTGTGATTCTGGCTGCTTGCGGAATATATTTCCCCACTTCGAACTTGGACTTCTCTCTCTAGTTAACGGGGCTGGAACGCGTCAGAATAGCTAGCTTTGTCCCGTTCTCACGTTAGGGAACTCGTAATCGCTTCAAACATAACACATTAATTCCAAGTCATCGTTTTACCAACTAAAGGCCTCTAGTGTCAAATACATTCAAAGACTCGGTAATTTAACGTACTTAAAATGTGAAATAAAATAATTACAAAACAACCTGATATTTCTAATAAGTCAGTCGGTTACTTTTGATTCAGGAACTCGCATGAATGTCTACTGATTTAAGTTGCTGCATGAAATCGGCATAATAAGAGAAGTACTAAGAGAAACACATCAGAGAAATTAATTTCAACTGATAGAAACTTAAAAATAAGTTTTTCAATAACTATATTCTTATGAACAGTGTACTATACAACTATTTAAAATCATAAAACTCACCGAATAATAGGAAGATTTTGAACATTATTTTGTACAAAAAGTTTCAAAATACGAAGATGGTTTGAATTCTTCGATAAAATTAAAAGTATATCCTCCGAAAGATTTAGGTAATTAATAGAAAACTGGTTGAGGTTGGAAAATATAAATAATCTTGTATTCAAATATGACATGGATTGATTGATTTGAAATAATCTGATAATTTGTAGTGATAATAAATTATGCTTTTGACTTTTTGCCAATGATTGTAATACACGGCTGACTTCATAACTTCCACAATAAGTTCCACCCCAATAAAAATGTTTTAAACATTTAGCATTCATAATGACGTCGCATAAAGCATTTATTATTCTGAAGTTTAAACGAGAAAATGAAAGAATAATAACATGCTTTTAAGTACAGAAAAAACTGTGAAAATAGATAATTATATGGTCGAATATTTAAAAAAACACCCTTACAGCTTAAAATACAGTGAAAATCTGTTATGTCTCGATAAGAATAATGAATGGCAACTTTTGGATTCATTTATGGACTAATACTATGCGTATATTCTTATCGTACACTTGTTAAATAACTAAACTATTTATGTTCCTGTCCCTCTCATTATGAGCTTTATTTTGACCTATGAACTAACATTATACTACTTACAATTCTTTAGTTATGCCCTGTCTGTCAATTACTATCTCTCTTATTTACAGCTATATTCGGCTAAATCTTTTGCAAATTTTGTTTTCTTATTTTATGGTACGATGTGGTCTGTATGCTTGAAATGAATGATTCATATTACAGAGGCTGAGATTGGTGTTCTGGACTTAACTGGCTGGGTTATGCAGAAAGCAGGACCAATAAATACTCCAGATTGCTCGTACGGGTTTTATGGACCGTTGGTCATATCGATAAATCACTGCTCTCTAATTGGCGGTATTATCACGTTATACATTAACAGGGCACACAGATCACAAGTTATAACAAAATCAAATACTAAAACACGAAAAAAAAAATAAGTTTCCCTATCAAACAGTAACGGGGAGAATCGGTAGTTGAGCCATTCGAATTTTAACCCGATGAAGTTGCCGGTTTGAATCGCACTACACGTTCATTGGTTCAAACAGATCTCAAAAATAACTTCACAAGTCAAAACTGAATACATGAACCTGTATTTGGTGGCTGAATTTGGTTGAAATTATTTTTCTTTCTTAGCGAACAATAGTATACAAATCTCATTGAAATAGCGGGCCCATCAATGTTAGACCACCATTTAAAACCTGGAAGCACTGGAAGGCCATTTCGTCCCACTATAGGACTCCTCAGTAGTGCGCGCTAATGACCCCACAACGGGAATCAAATCCACAACACACCGTCTCGCACGTGAACGTCTAACATCCAGACCACTGAGCTGATGTCCGATGGCGTTATTGTCTAAATTCAGCAAATCCAGGATGTTACGACACCATCTTCCATTGTCCTCCATGGATAACTGCCTCACCTCGACATGGTTGAACTCCACTGCTCACAATTTTTCAAGTGACTGCTCCACCATCACTATAACCTTATTGCACTATTCTTCAGAATAACTGAAGACGGTTAGAAATACAAGTTTGGCTGATTAAATATCCTTATATCAGTAGATCGAGTACGTTTGTTGCTCTTTCAGTGAAAAATAGAAGAATGAGGTGTACAAAACTATAAAAGTGGGGACCCACTCATGAAATTTCAAAATCTTGAACTAACAGGAAAATGCTACCGGATAGGTAAATACCTTTTGTACAGATATGAATAACTCAGTTGTACTTTATTCTTCATACAGATTCCTTAGTTGATCTCAAGTACTGTGGAAAGTATGTAGACTGTTGACACCCCCGTGGATTTCTCACACTATTAGAGATAATTTTCCTCTATGTAATCAGAACAAGAAACATGACCACTGTTAATGACCTCGCAACCTGATGGATTGGTCGTAAAGGCTAAGAAACTGTTTGAAACATGCAACACATGACTGTTGCGTGAGTAGTACGTGTTTCTTATAACTTACCGTTGGTATCGGAAACTTGTGAGAGGGTAGTGTAATGTAGGGGATAAAGTTCAGTTCAACACTTAACATGAAATAATTTCCCTGAAGTTAAGGAAGCTCATCTCACCTTTAAAAAGAGTAAACCAAAAGACTAAAGCAAGATCCCCACTGGCTTCAATTCTGAGCCAAATCTGATGCTGTCTTAAGCGGCCGAATTTATTTATTTATTTATTTATACACATAAATATTGGTACAAGGAAGCACCAGATAAATATGCGCCTCACAAATCTCAATCGATTTGTGTGAGGGCTGTGATACTGATCAGGTGCCCAGACTGAAGCAGGTGGTTTTCTTAGGGGGCCACACCCCGAGCCTTTGACCTGAATTTCTGATCCACAAGGCAGTGGAGCATCGTGAGGAGATGCAGTCCCATGGTAGCCGGTGATCAACGGTTGATTCGTACGCCATTTGTTCCCTCAGGATACTGGAGCCCATGTGCACCATTGGTTTGTAATCGGGGTTTTCCAACTCCTCTAGGTGAACTTTCCATGACCACCAACCCAGTTAAAGCGCCGGACATTCGCTTTTCGTCCTCTCACTTTCGTAAACAACACCCCCGCCACGAGAAGGCAGTGAGTAGGACTTCCCTGGCAGAGGCTATATATTCGCTGGCCATATGAGAGCATTTCGAGAGGGAGAGGTGACTCTCCCCACTCTCGGCCGTACCAGGGCATTTGGGGGCTAATAGCGGCCGAATAGCCTTATTTCTAGGGCCCCAACAAAGGAACTGCAGCGGATCAGTAGACGGCAAGCCTATACGGCTTTTTCATACCACAATGAATGGCTTGGTAGGTCACTAAGATGTCTTGATCTAACCCCCTTAACTTTATCTCAACATCAAAATACTTTATTTACGCATTTAAAGGGCATAGATTAGTGTAATCAGTTTCGAGACATTGTGGGGGTTAGCCGTACCATTAGGTATGAATAATCGAAGTGGGTGGGGAGGGATCCGAACACGCGACTCATTAGCTTAAAGTTAGACGTCTTAACCATTAGGCCACTCCTCTATACATATACCCACGCTATCCAGTACAGCACGTCTCAATAGATGGTTGGGAATGAGTAAGTCTTAGAATACAAAATATCCCTCTGCAAAACGAGATATGGCTGATTAGTCAACATAGTTGAAAACAATTCCATCTAGCTCATTATAACCGAACGTTCTCTGTCTTAATTCAATCATGGAGCGTCGGTGGAATTAAGGTAGCATACAGCCAGTGATCTGAAATTGATAACAATAAATATAACACTTTGTGATAGGTCAGAGGTTTTCGTCCTGATTACTGTAGGAAACTTCTACATAGAGAAGAATGACTGTTAACCCGAAATGAAGTTCAAGGTACTAACAGTACCCTTACAATCAATTATCTGTGGGCAATTCGACTCATTTATATAGTCCCGAAAAAGCTTAGGACTCAATTCAAAAGTTATGTGGGTGAAAGATGTAAGAAAATAAATGGCTTTTCCCAAGAAAAATGCAATTGGATTTCCATCAAACAAATGATTTCCAACCAATTCGCACTTGTGTCAACTGAGCTTTATTTATCTCTGCACCTCTTGATTACCTTGTTAAATGATAATGTCATTTAAATTTCTCATAATCGAAACCCTTTGAATCCCTAGAGTCTTAGAAATATTTTACCATATATCGTTAGTTTACTTGTTACCTTATCGTAAATTTAGAGTGGTCAGTTATTGATAACGGAGTACTACATAGTGAAATGAGTTGCTGGGCGTAGTTTAAACCTAACCTCTAATGTTGGAAAATGACTATTAATCTTTCAAATTGTGAAGGCATGGATATTTATTCGACGACGTCGGATCCAAACAACCGTATCGAGATTGCAATCTATGGACAACGTTTGAGTGATACCGAAGTGTCTTTGAGAAGCTTTAACCACTTACTACAGTCATGCTAGTGGCTAATCGAGACTAGGAGTTCCAGTCAAACAAAGTTTGGGGTTGTTAACACGGACTGACACCGATTATAATGCCAAAATGAAAATTAGCCACGGTGATGGGTGATATCTGCGCCGAAATCAGACTCAGAATCTTAGATCTAATTGGCTCGTCCACAAGTTATAGTCACGCCACAACTTCACTATTGGGACAAACTACATATACATAATTACTCAATCTTCCTATTTTGGGGGAGCCGCTATAAGAAATTTTGGGGAAATGGCACAAAAACCCCAAAATCCACCAAAAACTGGGGATTTCCCCCAAATAGGGAGATTGGGTAGATATGACACAGCTTGTTCACGACTAAATCTACAGGAAATAATTTGCCATGACTCACTTATTTGAAAGCCGGTTCGAGATATTTGAAGAGGACTTATTGTATAAAAGTCTTAATGTCGGTCGTAGGGATATGGAATGTATTCCAGCATTCGAGCACAAAGCATTCAGTGTGTATTCCAAAACAGCAACATGAGACTCATCCCCTGGATCAAATTCAAGAGTAATCTCGTCACAAATTTTCAAGGGGATAATCTGATTCTTGAAAGCTTCAACTTCTGGAAAATTAGGAGGACATATATGTAGTTTATTCCATACAAATTTATCGGTGTATGCGACCCCACGCCAGCGTTTGCATACGGTAGAAACGTAAACGACTTCATCGCCTAAATAACTGTATATATGTTTTACAATATGGTAAGGCAAAAGGCTCCAAGAGTGAACTGACGAACCATAGTCTAATGCCATACGAACTAACCGCCAGTCATTGAGACGCATTAAAATGCAGACCAAAAAATAAAGAACGTCACCTCACTTCTGATTCATGTATGAATTCATGATTAAACTATGTATTCAACCTGCTTGTAGATGTTCAGACCTCAAATTTTCTCGGAGGAAATGGAAACCAATCTGTTTCTTAAGATGCGTAGGGCTAGTGAAATGTCGCTGAGCCCTAGCCAGACCATCCGGCAGTTTAGTCACTGAATATCGAACGGTTCATCAATCCCCACCAAGGCTGAGGACAACCAACGCGCATCAGTTAATCGTACGCCATGGACTAACCCATGAGTTGGTGGTCACTCCATCGCTTGTACGTAATGTAATATATTTCTGTAATAACGTCCTTTGCGTTGTACTGTCTTCAAAGCATCCATGGTACCTTGATGCGACGAAGAAATAATCCCTGTTGGGTGCTGACCGCAAGGTGTGACTTTGACGTTAGCTGTTGGTTACACCATCCCCGCCTGATTGGACCCCAATCATTCGACATAGATAATCTACGTTGATTATCTACAGACCTGAGTTCTGGTTAACAAACAAGATTCTTCTTTATGGAGGGATGAGAACTTTTGTTTGAGTCCCTCAAGATACAAAAACTTCGTGTGATAATAGGAGTAACTTAGGTAAATTTCCCAAGAAGATAATCTTCAGTACTATTGATCGATCTGCATGCACATTCTAACAAAATCCACAGTCTTTCGATCACCCTGAACAACAGCACTAGCATGTTTGGGATCCCATTCTCCTCCCAATGCAAAATGTTGTTTCAAAACTAGTCTGTGCCAACGTCCAAACTAGTGATAGGGAGTGAAGTAGTCAAATGTGTCGGCCACTCCACTTATCAACCCTGTTGAGTTAGTGTCTGTTGGAATATTGGGACTAGTTCAGAAAACTCTCTTGGCTTTTGTCAACTTGTGTCACCTGTGGTGGAGAGGAGACAGAGGACATCCGTAAGTCACCAGTTACGGTTCATGCTCTGGGTACTTCCATACACCTATTATCTCGACGCACAATAATTACTGATAATAAGGTAGATTGGATAAAGGTTAGAGATTACAAGACCATGACAAATTATCTGCCCATGAAACCGCTGACTGTTCGGCTGAGTCACGTAACTAGATACAGACTATCTAGTTAGGGTCCTTATGACTGTTTTAACGCTAACTCATTAGTGCCATTTATACTGATTCTGATAGCGAATTTGACATATTACATATTCTAATGATGAAAACATTCTTACTTATTTGTGCATCTCTATTAATGTCCCGATGGACTGAGATATCTTCCTCAATATAATTTTCACTGGATTGTATTAGCAATTTATTGAGATAAAAAGGATTATGAGTGAGGTGAACCATCATGATTGTGTTCCTCTTTGTTTGTCTGTGCCATAAAATCTACCCGGTTAATTGAGGCAAACTATGCGAGTAAGATTGGTGGTTTAGCTTTTAACTCTCCGTTGATCTGACTCTAATTTCAAATAAAGTAAAGTCTTTTCTCAAAAGCCCGGGAAAGAATAATGAAGAGCAGTAAAGAATATTAGGTAATGTGTAGGAATTGACAAATTCTAAGAGTAAATGGCGAGTAATCCCAAAAGCATGCAGCCTCTTTATGTAGACAGTCCGACGGTAAAATTTTCTCGATGACAGTAGTATATGAGAAGACCAAGAAAGATTAGAGGAAAAGGTCACAACAAAATAATTGACCTTCGACACTGTATTTATCAAGGAGTCTCCATTGAAACAAACACTATGGGACCTCAAAATAGTTTGTAGGTGTTGTCCATGTCTTAGGCTAATGTCGACAGCCTGACATTTAGATGGATTATGTAGGAGACCATTACCAACATACCACCATTCAATTCGAGGCAAAAACTCGTTCATTTCTATGGGATGTAAGGAGGTAAAAATTGGCATACATACATTGAGGTCGTCCGCATATTTCACAAAAGCGTTTTCTGAGGAGATTTTAAATCATGCAGAAAAAAGGGTGAAGGAGAGATGAAAGAACAACTCCTTGTGGCACACCTCCATTAGACAGAAGAGACATTGAACACATTCCTCCAAACACATTGTATTGTTCTCTTCCAGAAAGGTAGGGGCATAACCAATTGATTATCCAGCTGTCAGTGTTGACGCAGATCGGCTTTTTAAGTAATAGGTGTCTTGGAATAAAATCGAAAGCAAAGGTATAGTCCAGAAAAGCGCATCGAACACACTTCTTACCCTTTTGCAATTTGAAAACTATATTGCGATGCCGAACAGCAACGGCATCTAAGGTGCTTCTTTTGCATTTGTAAACAAAATGATATGGATCACTGGGCTCTTTTATTGCAAGTGGAAGTGGGAGCATCAATAATGTTTCCATTAGCTTGTGGAAAGGTGAAGTTATTGCTATGGGTCTAAATTTTACATTCTTATCACCAGATACTTTCTTTAGGTATTGGATTATCTTTGTCTTTCTCTTCATTTTCTGTATGAAATCAGTTGAGAAGGATTTGTTAAAGATATTCGTGAATGGATAACATAGAACGACAGCACATTTTCAAAAAGGAGGTTCGGGATACCATCAGGTCCTAAACATCGAGATGAATTAAGTGACTGGAGGCATTTTTGACATCATTTTCAGTGCAAATTGCAGCACAATTATTCTTCAAACCTATGGATATAGGGAGCATGACGTCAGATAACTGATGTGCAAATACTTATCTTTGTCATAAACATTCAGGTGGTTATAGCTCCTAATCTGCATGTCACCTGTAAGTTTTTTAAATAGTTTCCACACACTTAGTGAATTTTTACAAGATAGGATTTTGTGAGTGAACACAGAGTTTAGACGTCTAATATCTATGTTTATTAGACCATTTAGCTTAGCAACTTTAATGGAGTTCTTATTCTTGTACTCTCTTTCTTTTACCCTCCGTAATCGTTTTAGCAGTGTATTTGTTCCAGAGGCTATACTAATCAGAGTTAGTGTTAGATGGAGAGATTTTAAAGGAGAATATTTATTAATCTTAAGTACCATACCAAGCTTATCGATAAATCCGTCTCCAATCCGAAAAGCTTATTCAGTTACGCATCTTCTCTTCGACAAGGCAAAACTGGAGTTTCCCAACTGCTTGGTCCTAATGGCCCGACCAACAACGACAGTGATGCCGCCAACCTTTTGGCTGAACATTACTCCCGGACATTCCAGCTGACCCACATCAACCATACTGACGAAAGCTTCACCTGCACCTTTACAGGACTTTCCGAAGTGGACCTGAGTGCTGACCTGGTGCTCCGTAAACTGAAGCACCTAAGAAAGGCACTGGCATCACCACTTAGCGTGATGTTTGCACACTCGCTAAGCAGAGGCAAACTACCGGAAATTTGGAAGCTGGCTCACATCACACCAATTTTCAAAGGAGGTCGACGCAGTGAACCCTCAAGCTACAGACCAGCGGCCCTTCTCTCCATACCTTCAAAAATTATGTAATCCCTAGTATTCGACGGCATACTAGAACACTTATCATCCTCAAAGTTCTTCTCGCCTCAACAGCATGGTTTCAGAAAAGGTCATGCAGGGGATAGATTGACAACCATCCTTGATCGCAAGGGGAAGGTTGACGTCATCTACCTGGATTTCTCGAAAGCATTTGATAGGGTCAACCACGTATGGCTTATCAAGAAGCTTGGACGATTGGATATCAAACCCCTTTGATTGACTAGCTCACTTCATATCTAGAAAACCGACATTTTAAGGTCAGGGTTAACTTCACCCTCTCTCAGGCTATGGAATGTCCTAGTGGGGTCCCCCAGGGTTCAATACTAGGACCTCTTCTCTTCTTGATTTATATTAACGATCTTCCTCAACAAGTTTCATCTGATTTATTGCTTTTTGCCGATGATGTGAAACTTTGGGGAGAGATACGTAATCACAATGATATACTAGTTCTGCAGGAGGATCTGACTCGACTTCAAAGTTGGGCAGACGACAACGGACTTACCTTCAACACTTCAAAGTGCAAGGTAGTCCATCTGAGACATGCTGTAGACTATAGTTATAACTTAGGTAACTCACCTCTAGAAGTTTCCCAAGTTGAAAAAGATTTAGGAGTGTTGATACCCTACGACCTGAAATCGTATGCGAACTGTGACAAAAACACCTTTCAAGCAAACCTTGCACTGGTAACATTGAAGCGCATTTGGCCAGTTTGACGGTAGAACCTTCCACATAATCTTCAACAGTTTTATTCGTCCCCACTTAGAGTACGGAAACATAGTATTTCCTCCCTCCCTCCAAAAGGATAAGGTCACTCTGGAACGTATACAACGTCGAGCCACGAAATCAGTTCGGGGTCTCAAATTCAAACCTTATGAAGAGCGCCTCAAATCACTTAACCTTTACCCGTTAGAGTATAGGCGTCTTAGAGGTGATCTTCTTATGACTTATAGTATCCTTAATACTTCTGGTCATCCCCTTAAACAACTTCTTAAGCTTAGTCATAACACTAACCTGAGAGGTAACACCCAGAAATTGGAGACCCTACATAGCAGAACAGACTGCAGACACAACTTCTACTCCGTTAGAGTTGTCAAGTGCTGGAATTCGCTGCCGACTGAGCTAGTCCAAGCGACCTCCCAGGAGTCCTTTAAGAGAAAACTTGACTTATTCTTAAGGACTAAGGATAACATATTATTATGATTTACCAAATTCTTTTTTTCCCCTCTATTATCGTTCATATACCTAGGTTCTTGCCTGGAGGTATTGGTGATCCACTGCTACCAGACACGGAAGCCCGTTAAGCGAAAGCTTCTTCTATTCCGCCCTCAACCATTTGAATCTGAGTTTTTGACAACAATGCAGAAGTGGCGGTACATCCTAACTGATTGTCTTGGTACCATGTGTCGAAAATCCATTTACGAAGCTTTATATCTACAATCTTGTTTCGGACGTCCGGCCTGAAGTTGCAGTGCATGTTCGACATCATGAGTACAATACTAAAAACTGTTTACGTCTTGCTCTAGTAGATAGTGTCCTACTGTCAATATTGATGCTTTTTTCTTTCTTCTCGATATTAAAATTTTCCATCTGTAAACCTACATACATACAACGCCAAC